GGGGGGGGGGGGGGGGGGGGGGGGGGGGGGGGGCGGAGGGCTGGAGAGAGGTGGGAGAAAAGTCCTGCCTGGAGCACCACAGGCTTGGGGTGTCCTGACCCATGTCCCTGGCCAGTCACAGCCTGCCTGGAGGGCAGAGCCTCTATCAGGCCCTTTATTCACACCCAGCTCCTTCCACGCATGCCGAGCCTCCCTCTAGTCCAAAGACTACCCCATTCTGCCCTGCCTCCTTAATCTTCCACACATGGCTGCTAGTGACATTTGAGCATTTCCAAAAATTAAATCAACCTCCAAAGAACCAGGATTTATCATCCTGAAAATAGTCAAAGCCTGGGCCATTGCTATTAAAGCCACTTTCTTGTACCTTTATTAGAAACTCATCCCTCCTGCCTTCTATTCATACATTCTACACTGAGCCAAAGTGAATGACAGTGGCTGATTAGGTCACATAGTGAAATAATTAGCCACTGCAATGATAACTGGTTCTTGACTGAAAAGACCAACTGAATCCATTCAAATTATCCTTATGATATGATGCATAGAAACCACTTATAGCTGTGTTTTAGATGTGTAAATTATCTTCCCTAAATGACTAAAATCTCTCAAAGAGGTCTTGGTCACCTCCTCCCCCTGCATCCCTTGTTTCCCTCCATTACAGCCCAGGTCCACACATAGCACACAAGGGAACTAGAGAAGAACACTCATGACTCAGATCCCCCGCCAGCCCTCTCCCCTGCCAGGTGCATGGCCTGCCTGCTCTTTGATATCCCTAGAGTCATTGATCCTAGACTGTCCTTCTTCCTACTCCATCTAATTCCCTCCCTTTCTATTCTGGGTGTGGGGAGCTTTCAACCTAGAGACCCTGTTTTAAATGAATGAAGAAAGGCATCTCCCCTCTCACCTTGCTCCACCTTCACCACACATCTCCATTTCTGGGAGCACTGCCAAGGAAGCAAAGGGGACCCTCAGGAATAGACCCCCTTGATCACAGATCATAGTCAACACTGGGTAAACAGAGCATTTCACACTTAAGTAGACTGTTCATCAGCATGTTATGGGTTAAATTTTGTTCCCCCAGAAGATATGTTGAAGTCCAAACCCCCAGTGCCTCAGAATGTGGCCTTATTTGGTAATAGGGTCATTGCAGATATAATTAGTTAAGGTCACACTAGAGTAGGGTGAGCCCCTAATCCAATGTTATCCTTACAATAAGAGAGAAATTTGCATACAGAGACATAGAGGGGAGATGCTGAGAAGACACACAGGGCCATGTGACAATGGAAGCAGAGATTGTAGTGATGGGTCTACAAGACAAGGAATGCCAAGGGTTTCCAGCAAACACCAGAAGCTAGGGGAGGCAAGAAAGGTTTGTCCACTATAGGTTTCAGAGAGAACATGGCCCTGCTGAGATCTGGATTTTGGACTTCTGGCCTCCAGATCTGTGAGGCAATAAATTTATGCTGTTTTAAGCCACCCAGTTTGTGATACTTTGTATTGCAGCCCCAGGAAACTAATACACACCCTCATTCCCAAATTCATCCTCTTGGCAGGCTATTGGATTCTCCTAATCCACACTTCACATGGGTTCAGGAACTCCAAACTCGCTTTAGCACTAGCGTGGATCAAACATTTCTAAGAAAGTAAGTTCACTGCAAAGAATAAGAATCTCTCCCATCTCAAGGGAATAGAGTTTCCTGGAGTGGGCTCAGGCCACTCTGTGAATGTGCCTTAAACCCTCCCATCAATATGACTGACATAGGACCTGCTCTGAGGCAGAGGCATATACAAGTTAACCTCAGGAAACAGAAATCCATCCAGATCAAGAAAGCCATCTAAAGACTGCAGTCCTTTCACTCTACCCCACATCAGACTCAACTTTACATAAGGTAGACGGAATGGACAGCCCTGGGACCAGAGAGGAGACGTGAAGAAGTGCATACCTGGATACCAGTAAGGGGACACCCCACCTGCAGCTCTGGCCAGCTCTTCCTGGGCTGAGGTGTTGAGTTGGGACATTTCCTGGGGAGTCCTGTGTGAGCCTGGCTCATCTCCTCTCTCACCTCATGACTTGTTTCCTCCTTGCAGAAGATAGTTTCCACGATCCAACAGAGGTTGTGCCTGCCCAGGAGGTGTGGACTGTGCATCCCTTCACTCCCTCTGTCTGGACTCCAGAGGGAAGAGTTTGGCCACAAAGGTTGGAATGGGTAAGGGAGTAAAAAGAAGGCAAATTACAGAGGGAAAAGCATTTAGGAGATTTCCAAAACAAGGGAGTATGAAGTGGACACAGCACAGGGCCAGGGAGTAAA